GTCAAAACATTTACAAGTGATTTGGTGATCTGCGTTGGAGTTGCCCTAAGAGCATTTTCAACACATGATGCAAAGTAGGGCTAGTGCCCAAGAACCATTTTCAGGCAGTTGGACCCAAAAACACTACTCCGACACGCCCTATTCTATATGATGATGCAAAAGAAAACGAGGCAGCCCCATATCGCCCCAAATGTTGTAAATATAAAGTAGTTGCCCGACTGCCGCAAAACAAAACAACGACCACACCCAACCCAACCGCAGGGTAAAATTTCAACCCCACAATTGTTGCCTCCGCGCGGCGGTGCTACCTTCAATTCCGCCGGCACCGCCTTGCGTCGGATTCAAGCCCCCTGCCACCGTCGTGCCGCCCCGCGGCAGATCCATCTGTTGCATCAACTGTTTTGGCCGCCGCACCACCCCATTCAGTCGCTAGTGCATTGATCAATTCCGACAACCACAACCACTGTCGCACCACCCCTCCGGATCCATGCCCCTCGCAACCGCTGCACCACCCCATGCGCGATCCATCGACCGCATCGACTGAATCCATCTGCCGCATCGATTGAATCGACCACCGCTATTCGTAGGATTTATCGCCTCGCCGTTGTTCGCCGAATTCGTCTTCCCCACTGCTCTCCAAGGATGACGCCATCCCGCGAGCAACACAGGTTTCCGTGACGCTCGGCTCCGGCAGTCCGGCCGCTACGCCGCCGAAATCTCATGCGACGGGCGACGGACGTGGCTCGACACCTACGACACCCCGGAGCTCGTCGCCCGCATGTACGCCCTCGTGGCTTGAAGGTTCCACCATACGAGATCCGAGCTGAACGCCGTTGATGTTCCGAGTGTCACAAAGGTGGAGTTCCTCGCTCTCGATGTGCGGTATGTGTCCCGCAAAGGGGAGAATGAAGACCGCCTAGTCGTGAAGCAACACATCGCCCATGCGAATGATGCGGTTCCTATGACGAGATTCGCCGAGGCCAATCCACACCTCGTGGAGGTGAAGCGCGAATTCTTTGCCAGGAGGAACGAGGATCTCAAGGAGAGGACGATCAAGAAAGAGGACGAGGCAGGTCCCTATGGGGTGATCAAGCTAGAGTCCGATGATTGATGTTGAGTCCGATGTTATTGAACTGGACAATCAGCAGTTTGAAAATGACGAAAATATGCAATCATGTTTATTTGGTGCCCTATTAGACGTCATCTGCTACGGCAGGAATTTTTTCTTGTGCCCTATTTTACATACCTGGCACGGTAGAACATTTGGTGCCCTAAATTCTCTCTCTATCATCCGATGGAGATGCTCTTATGGTGCGAATGAACCACCGTAGTCCCCGAGTAACGACTCCGCTCTCTCAGCTACATCACGTGAAAAATCTGGCGTGACACGATTTTGTTTGCGGGTTACTGACGTGACACGAGGTGGTGATGTACTACTCCTACCCCACTATCTCCACGCTACTCGCTTAAATCCAAATCAGAAGGCGCTAATCCGCAGTCAGTAGTAGTATAACGATCTTCATGTCCCTGTCCCAAACTGCGGCCAATCTCCGGCGCCGTCTCCTCTCCATCCCCTCGATCTGACGTCATCCTGCTCCGAGCTCTGAAACCCACTCACACACAACCTGAACCCTCTCCCCCTCCTCGCTATCACCGTGGTCAAATGGCACCCGCCGTCGTGAGGCGGGCCCACTTCTCGAGCTCCTGCCCGTCGGCCGGCCGGCGGCAGCTCGGCGGGAGGGCGGATCGGGTCTCGCTGGCTCCCCGCGAGGCCTCGCCGCCGCGCGTTTCATGGGGTAGGTGCCCTGGGCCAGAGCTTTCCATGCCGTGTAGATTGGTGGAGTCTCGTGTACGATAGTCTGGAGATCCCCTGTGGTCGCGGGCTGCAATCTTCAGAGATTCTTGGTGGTACTGACTTCTGTTCGATGGTTCTTGTTTCCAAGCAGAGCAGGGATCTGGGGTGCCCATCAGGGGACGAGTCTGGGCCAAGGCCGGTGGTTCGTTCCAGCAAGATCGCAGTGGGGTGGGCGCTGCGTCACCTTCTCCTCTGCAGGTGCCCTTCTGATGCAGTACTTGGCGAGTAGCAATATTAGTAATAGTACACTTTTGTTTCTAGCAGAATATTAGTAATAGTTCGCTTCTGTGGCTGCCTGCTTCATGTTTAACAGTTTCAGACTTGTATCTTGCAGGGTGTGGAGGAGGGCAGAGTTGATTTTCTCAAGATTCTCAAGAGTGCCAACTCCATTATTCCCCATGTAGTGCTGGGGAGCACCATTCTTGCGCTGCTGTACCCACCTTCGTTTACATGGTTCACAACCAGGTTGTCTTGCCATGCTTTCGCTGTTTGCTCTGATTTAGCTCTGTCTGCTTTCTCCCAAAGACCAGCTCAATTACGCTTTTTACACTAGTTTGAATTCACTGGGTACAGTGAACAGGGATATGACGAATTGACGATGGATAAATGTTCAATTGACTCAATTAAGTTAGAGAGATGGTACCTGTTGAGGTATTAGGAAAGCAAACACAAATTAAAGTACAGTTTGGGCGTGTTCATTGGGAACTCAACTGATACCATACTTGTGAAGGAACAAGGAAAACTACAATTTATCATCTGAAAGAGTGATTCTGAAATATTTAAACTTCAATCTAATAAATCAAATGACTCACCGGGTAAGGCCAGTCAAGGGACAGGGCTGCATTCCACAAGTACAACTGAAAACTCCAGGAACATGTAAACCCTACCATTCAGTAGCTCAAAACATATGCTGATAGCATGCTTGATGTAATACAATCATTGTTGTGCTAGTACTAAGGGCTACTTACATTTGTGTATGAGCGTGACTGTGTGCTAATAACCTGGCAGATACTACGCACCGGCATTGGGGTTCTTGATGTTTGCTGTAGGTGTCAATTCAAGCGTCAAGGACTTCATTGAAGCAATAAAAAGGCCAGGTGCTATCGCTGCTGGCTATATTGGACAGTTTATTGCCAAGCCTTTCTTTGGATTCCTATTTGGCACTCTTGCAGTTACAACTTTCAACCTTCCTACTGCTGTAGGTAGGAGATTTGAATTTACTATGTTTTAGCATGACTTCATAAGGGACATCGAAGGCAGCGTAGTGAAGTGAACCCTGACCTGGACTTGTTTCTAGGTGCTGGTATCATGTTGGTTTCATGTGTGAGCGGAGCACAACTGTCAAACTATGCGACGTTCCTGACCGATCCACATATGGCTCCCCTCAGCATTGTTATGACATCGTTGTCGACAGCTAGTGCGGTTTTTTTTACCCCAACTTTATCTTACTTGCTTATCGGCAAGAAATTACCTGTTGACGTTGTAGGAATGATGTCCAGCATTGTCCAAATAGTGGTTGCTCCAATTGCAGCTGGATTGCTTCTGAATAGGTACCCACTTAATTTCTCTGTCTGAAGTATGAGAGATAACTGTGCTAGATCTGACACAGTCTATGCTATGTGCCTTTTATCTTTTGCTGCCCACCTGGAGTAAATATCTAATGCGTCTAACTTAGTGTTTTTTATACTATGAAGATTTCTCCCAAGACTCTGTTCGGCTATCCAGCCATTTCTCCCTCCACTATCGGTGTTTGTGACTGCTTTATGTGTTGGCTCACCATTGGCTATAAATATCAAGGCTGTTTTGTCACCGTATGGACTATCCATTGTGTTTCTGCTTTTTGCATTCCATACAACATCTTTTGTAGCTGGGTATCATCTTGCTGGTACTTGGTTCCGCAAGTCAGCTGATGTGAAGGCCCTGCAAAGAACGATATCTTTTGAGACAGGTATGTTGTTTTTTGCAATTGGATTACGATTTGTTGTTTGCAGTTGCTTCTTGTCTTACCAATATTTCCTACAGGGATGCAAAGTAGCCTTCTTGCTCTTGCTTTAGCAAACAGGTTCTTCCCAGACCCTCTGGTGGGAGTGCCTCCAGCAGTATCAGTATGTGTACTCCTCCAAGGCCTCATCTGTTGCTTTTATATCCGCATTAAGCATGAACCGTTTTGATTATTCGCTTTTAAATGTAACTTAAGTGACTTGCATCTAAAGAGCAGCTATGGCGTTTTGTCTTAATCTCGTCACGGTATCACGGAGTAATATCTTTGTAGAAAATTAGAGTTACATGTGTTTCGAGGTGGCTTATTCAGACGAAGCACTTCCTAAATATTAGTTTAGTACCATATATGATGGACACTGCAATCACAGCATCATGACTTGTTTTCTATGACCATCTGTTGCGCAGATATCAACTAGTAGGAGTTAATATTTCCTGCCTCTGTGTGTAGGTTGTGCTCATGTCCCTGATGGGGTTTGGTCTTGTCATGCTATGGTCCAAGAAAACACAAGTGTAGACCCCGCAAAACCACTGGGCTGGATATACTTCTCAGCGAATTTTTCGATGGCGTTGACCAAATCGCCAAGAACAACCCGATCCTTGGTGGAAAGATGACGACTGCAGACCATAGACGGCCAGGGTGCCATGCCAAGTGAGACACCAGGGTCACCGTGACACGTCTGGATCCTTGTCACTCTCTTTTCCTTTGATCCTTGGTGAAAAGATGTCTGTGTAACATTGTAGGATTCATAGGGATAACCTCTCCCTAGTTGATTCTGACAGAAGATAGAAAGAGAGAAGAAACCGACGTGCTGGTGGATTTATCATCTGATGATGGTATCCGTTTGCATTTCTTGTGACAAAAATGATAATATCCACTCGTGCTGCCTATGCAGCTGTTTTTATTTTCTTATTAATCGAGTTGCAAACTTGGATGATGATGATGATGATGATAGCAGTCTCGGAGTACATCTCATTTTGCTTCTAAGGCAGCTTGAAAATTATTAACCAGAAAAAGAAAGAAAATACAGGCCACTTTGTGGTACACGTACGGTTACAGTACAGTCGCACTGACTGATGGGTCCAGTTGTACAGAAGCTATCACGAGTTCTGTGAACGCCAAGCAAAGCGAAGCTCTTCCCACTTCATGGCGTCTCTCCGGCTCGTGGCAGCACTGGCGCCCTCGCCCCCGCCCCCATCTCGGCGGGAGCCGCGGAAACCTCCGCCGCCCGGGGCCCGCTTGGCGAGGGGCGTCACCCTCGCGGCGGCCGCCGCCACCGTGGCCGCGGCCGCGGCCTCGCCGCCGGCGCTAGCGGCGCTGGCCGAGCCGGCGAACGCGCTGTCGCTGCCCACCTGGGCCGTCCACGTCTCCAGCGTCGCCGAGTGGTACGTACTACATGCTTCCTCTGCCACAGTCCACTGCTATTGAAGCTCCGAACTATTTCTGCTTCCTGCAAAGATCAAATCTCTGAGGAGGGGAATTGGACTTGCAGGGTGACGGCGATGGCGCTGGTCTGGGACTACGGGGAGCGCACGGGGTTGAAGGGCTGGAAGGGCCTCTCATGGGGGATGGTAAGTGCAAACTCCGATAGAGATATTTCTGGTGAAGAAGCCATATTCTGAAGGAATTTGCTGCGGATAATATCCCTATCTGAATGTGTGAAATGTTGCAAGATTTGCTTGCTATTAGGATGCTGACAGATTGTTGGTTCGCTTTACTCGATGATTTATTCGCCGCAAACTAAGCACATGCGTTTCTTCAGACACCCTCCTTATTGAACCGTGCGTGTTGAGTTGGCCATTGCAAGTAGCAAAGTTTTGCTGATGACAGTTCATGTGCTTGTTGACTAACAAGCTTGCATTTCTGCCCAATAATAGGTTCCGCTTCTCGGCGGAGCGATGTGCGCGTGCACGTGGCATTTCTTCTACAATTCAGAGTCTCTCGAGGTAGGATATTTAACCTTCAGACAGAACAGTTGCATCCCCTTTGCTGATTGCTACCACTAGTTGCTTGATAGTATCATCTACCTGTCCCGAATTTTGTGGCTGTCTTCACTTGTCAACTGTCACCCTGAATATTTCCACTAACATAATCACAATGTACTTGATAATTAGCGGGCTAGACATTGCTAACTGCTTTCAGCAGCTATATCCTGAATTCTTTGTGCTTGTTAGTTTTGCTGAATGAGTATGCTATTTGTGCTTCAAAGAATTATTCTGCCCATGTTCCTTTTCCTTAGTTGTGATGTTTTGTGTCCGAATTCCACAGGTACTTGTGGCGCTTCAAGGTGCGCTTACAGTGATCGGTAACATAACAATGTGCATAGCTGCGTACCGCATCTACAAAGGGTCCCAAGAAAGCACTAACAACAACAGTCCATAACCTGTGTATGCACTCTTTCTCGAACATCTGTCTGTCGGGTGGAAGCTTCAGCTTCTTTTTCCTTCTTACTAAGAGTTTTTCTTCTGTAGATTTGAATACCGTTCTTAATTTGTAAATCTGTCACACCTGATTCGAGAAAATGCAAATGATGGATGCAAAGAAGGTAGACAAAGAAAGTTACTCAGAGGGTCACCATAAAAAGGATTACTGACAGAACGAAAGAAACTTATTTTTGTCCATCTATAATTAAAATGTCAGTTCAAAAAAATCCACCCTGAAATTTGTGTAAGAAGAAACTTACTAAACTTCTCATATTTGAATGACATGCAAGCGTGCCTCGTCTGATACTGATCACTGAATGTTAGTACCTGATTCACATTCACCTTTGCATACTTTTATCCGTTGTTTAGAGATCGAATCGTTTCGATGTGAAATTCCTGCGAAACAAAGAGGCACTTGAAGCACATTGCCCTACGCCTCGGTGGGACGATGCCCTCCCTCATGATGCTAATTTAGTAAATTTTGAGACAAAATAAACACTTCCTGGTACTTTGGTTCGTGCGTGTGTTCATGATGCACACATGCGCATTATTGCCAAACAACGGTGCACCAGGACAGGTTCATGCACGGCCGGCAATGGTCGCTGGTGCCTTGTCGACGGCGGGGAGAGGTCAAGCATCTAGCATGGGAATGAAACCTGCACTTGGGTGGACGCAGGAACCCGGACTCGACATGTGTCGCGCATCGGGAAGCTGCGGTGCAGCATCGGAGGGTGGGAGCAGCTTCAAGGCACTCGAGTCATTGCTGAAAGTGATAATACAGAGCCAACATCCATGTTTTTCAGCAAACCTTACGTGCCAATAAAACTGGGAAACTACAGCACATAATAAACTATAAAAACAGAACTTGCGCTTCAAAACTCAGAACTTTTCAGCCTCGTTGTCGAGCTTGCTGCTTCCTTATCTTCTCTTTACTTTTTTTTCCTCCTTTGCTCTGCTGCCCTTCCATCCAGCAATTCCAAGCACCAACGGAGCCCACTCCCTGCGCCAGCTGAAAATATCAGCTGCAACTGGCAGCAGCTGGTTTGCTCCGCTGAGTTGCGTTCCTCATATACCTTGCCTATGCAATCCACTCTAAAAAAAGTCAACCATCGAGCTGGTTTAACAAGTACTACCTTCGTATTCAGTGTCATATTTTAACCATGATTTTAACTAATAAAAATTTAGTTATATATAATAAAAATAATATTATCGGGAACTATGTTCAAATACAAATTCAACGATATAATTTTAATGACATGCATTAACATTTTGTTGGTTAAATTTACGGTCAAAGTTTGACACAAAATACGAAGGGAACCAATAAACTAGGACAGAGGTAGTAGGATCATAGGAAAACTTATATTACTCCCTCCATTCCATTATACAAGGCCACAAACTCAAATTACAGGTACCTAGGTAAAATTTAATGACTACTTCCTCTGTTCCACAATACATGCCTTTCATTTATCAAAATATAAATGTATCTAGACATGTTTTAGTATATAGGTACATCCATTTTTTGACAAGTGGAAGTCAAGTACTTTGGAACGGAGGGAGTACTTTGCAAGCCAACTTTTCTTCTTGTTAATTGGGATCATTAATGTGCCCGCATGCATGTAAGGAAGGAATAAGAAGGAAGTAGCACATTGTCATTATGACTACATGCATGCAAGTATTAAATAAATTGCTAGTTCAAGAAAACATCATTAAATTTTGCCTCGGTTACTGTTAGGCTGGTCACAATGGGCAAGAACATAAGCTAGTAACTTACACACTTTCCTAAACTATGTTACTACCTCCATAGTGCGTAGGAACATCTATGTAGTGTCATGCAACGATGTATTTATTAGATTATAAACTCATTGTTTCTTGGAGTGTGTGATGTTCCGGTAACTTAGGCTCCTCCCAATGCTCCATCTTGTACAGGTGCTAAGCCTTCCACGTAAGCAAAAAATCAAAAAATCTGATGTGGCAAGTTATTTAAGAGAAGAGAGATGAGTGTGGTGACCCCAGGAAGAACCAATGCTAAGCGCGTGAACCTAGGCAAAACATTTAAAGGAAGGGAGCCCACCAATACATGAAGAGCTTTAGTTGCTAAATCATTAAATGAAGCAAGCTTAGCAACCATAAGCTAAGCACCTATGCATTGGGAAGTATAGTTGCTAAGCTATTTAATGTGCTTAGCACCTCATCTAAGCACTCATGCATTGGCAGCAGCCTTAGTTAGTTACCACAAGCACCTCTCTCTTCATTAAATATGTGCCACATAAGCAAAGTTGTATTGGAGTGTGTGATGTTACTCCTAAGTTCCTCCCCATTGTGACCAGCCTTAGTGGCATTGTATATATGCCAAATGTATTTTTCATACTGACCTTGTATAAGAGAATGGAGGGAGTATAAGAAAAAGCCGCGGCATTTCTTGTTTTGTAAATCGACCAGAGCAACACAACAACTCCTACAACTACGAGGTTTCTACTACTCCCCCTAAAATTCATAGCCCGCTCCACTATCTCATCTACCTTGTTAAAATCCATATCGATACTAAAGGCCACTTTAATCGTACCCCATGCATAGCGTGCCATGGGACAACTAAAGAACATATGATCAATACTCTCTTTGGCGAGGTTACCTTGGTCCCTCAAGTTCCCTAAATGTATAGAATTGGTCCCTCAAATTTTTTTGATACACATTTGGTCCTTCAAGTCTCAAAACCGGATAAGTTTGGTCCAAAACCAGATTTTGAGCATGTTGACCGGGTTTGACTACATTGACTAGGTTTGACCAATGAACAATAAATTTTAAAAAGTAGCAATTTTTTCTAAAATATCTGAAATTTTGTGGCAACCAAGATTCTTGGGTGCGCTAGGTGCGTGAAAAATTGTGTTGTGTCTCGACATTCGACGAGCTCGTGGCAAAAAAAAATTGGCTCACAAGAAGAAATGCCAAAAAATGTTTCTTGCTGGAGCTCCTCGGATGTTATTTGACCACACAAACTTACACGCACCTAGCACACCAAGCTTATTGGTTTTCACAAAATTTCAGATTTTTTTGAATTTGTTTGCTATTTTTTTGAATTTACTGTTCATCGGTCAAACCTGGTCAACGTGCTCAAAATCTGGTTTTGCATCAAACTTATCCGATTTTGAGACTTAAAGGACCAAATGTATACCAAAAAATCTTGAGGAACCAAGTCTATACTTTTAAGGAACTCGAAGGACCAAAAACATACTTTTCTCTAAAAAAACCATGACATTTCTTGTTTTTCAGATCGACCAAAGCAACACAACAACTCCTACAAGAATGAGGTTTCTGCTACTCCCCCCTAAAATTCATAGCCCGCCCCACTATCTCATCCACCTTATTAATATCCATATTGATACTAAAGGCCACTTTAATCACACGCCATGCGCATGTGATGGGGCAACTAAAGAACATAAGGTCAATATTCTCTTTAGCGAGGTTACCTTGCAGTTATTTTAAGGGCCTTTGACGAGGTTATCGATATGGCTACCAAGTTCCATAGTCGGTTGTTCCTATTCAACGTGGCCACCTCGATCTTGATGCAATCCTCAATAGTCTTCTCGCGTCAATAACCCTCTTCGCCATCAGATATCTTGGCCTTCTGCTTTCGGTTTGTCAACTAAAGAGGATCGAATTCCAATACCTTGGGGCCAAGGTTGTCGCGAAGATTCCGCCCTAGTAGGGGGAGGGGAATCACCACAGCCGGTCGAACATGTATTGTGAAATCAGTGCTTATGTCGTAGGCGGTGTATCCCATCACCCCTCTAATTGTTCCCCCATCTAATTAACAAGGTGGAGCCTGCTTTTCTTTGGGCGGCGACAGATTATGCCTTCGGGGCAAAGTGCAAAGTTAATTGGGAGATGGTTTGCCACCCCACTCATTTAGGGGGTTTGGGGATTCCACATATGGAGAAGTTTGCCCGTACTCTCAGGCTGGGGCTCAAATGGGAGGATCCGGGTCGGATGTGGGTTGGTACGGGGAATCCGTGCGACGAGATAGACATGGACCCTTTATGCCTCCACCACCATTGACATTGGAAATGGTGGCAAGGTACCTTTCTGGGACTCTCTGTGGCTGCAAGGGAGGAAGCCCGAGGACATTGCATCCCTCATATTTTTTTGCCGCCTCCAAGGGGAAGAAATGGACGGTGAGGGAGGCTTTTCAGGATGATGCATGGATTGGTAAGATTGACACATCTCATGGTATGTTGACCTCTGGACCCTTTTTAGTCATGTCCAGTCACGTGAGGAGATTGAGGATGATGACATCACATGGAGATTGTCAGCGAACAGAGAGTACTTGGCGTCGTCCGCCTACAAGGCACAATTCATGGGAGCTATGCTAACCACAGTGAGCAAGATGTTTGGAAGGTCATCCCCCAAGGTTAAGTTCTTTGTGTGGCTTGCTATTCATAATAGGGTCTGGACTCTCGACTGCCTGGAGAAGAGAGGTTAGACTAATTGTGGGGTATGCACCTTGTGTAAGAGAGCTAATGAGACTGTGGTCCACCTATTCTTCAAGTGCCGATACACTAAGAGAGTTTGGAGAATGATCAAGGACTGGCTCAGCTTGGAGATGTTGGACACCTCTAGTTGGGTGAATCACCGGTCTGTTTGAGCCTGGTGGACTGCCATGTCGGGTCCCAACACCACGAACCGGAAGCCAATGGCATCCCGCACTATGCTAGTGAGATGGGTCTTATGGAATGGGAGAAATGCACGGGTCCTCCAAAAGAAATCTACACCATCGTACCACATCTTGAAGCTCGTGCAAGACGAGGCTAAGCATTTGACCACCGCCTTGGCTAAGCATTTGGATACCATAATGGCGCGAATTGTCTTGTAGATCCCCTTTCTGATACGATCATCGAGCGATAACTCTCTAACACCTTCTTCTTAGTTGATGAATGGGGCAAAGCTTTTGCCTCTCCTTCAAAT